GTTGGTCAATATCCTTGCGCCATTTTTGTGAACACAAACAACACAATTCATGTCGGTAATAAAGAAAAGAACACAATTGTAATATGGAAAGAAGAGAGTGGCAACCCAACAAAGATCATTCACGGTAATTTTACAGAGCCCGCTTCGCTCTTCGTGACATCAAATGGTGATATTTATATGGATGATGGTGAGAAGAATGGTCGAGTGCAGAAATGGAGTGCAGAAACAACTACCTTTGTCACAGTGATGAATGTCAGTTCACGATGTGAAGGTTTGTTTGTCGATATCAATGATACTCTTTATTGTTCAATGTTTAATCATCATCAAGTAGTAAAAAGATCATTGAATGATGCTGTAATGACTTTAAATCGTGTTGCTGCTGGAACAGGTATTCTAGGATCAGCCTCGAATCAACTCAGTAGTCCGCTTGGTATTTTTGTTGATTTGAATTTGGATTTATATGTGGCAGATTGTAACAATAATCGAGTTCAGTTGTTACAGTTGGGAGAATCAAATGCTGTCACAGTAGCTGGATATACATCGCTAAATCCAACAATCACACTTTCTTGTCCAAGTGGGATTATATTGGATGCTGAGAAATATTTATTCATTGCAGATAGCAACAATCATCGTATTGTTGGTTCAGGCTTGTATGGTTTTCGATGTTTATTTGGATGTTATGGAGTGGGTTCACAATCCAATCAATTGATATTTGCATTTAGTTTTAGTTTCGATCATTTTGGAAACATATTTGTCACTGATTCAGGAAGCCATCGAATTCAAAAATTTCAATATTTGGAAGAATCATGTAGTAAGTTTAAAATGATCGAATAAAGTCTCTAATATCACTTCAGTCAATATTTATTTACAGAATTAAAAAGAAAGAGTTTCATAGAAGATTAAGGAGAAAATGAAACTCCTGATGGATTTACTCCTGAATTATTGAATAGTTAAATTCAAATTTCAGGTTTCATCCTAATATACTATCGTTATAAAGTAGAAACCTTGTTTATTCATAATTTTCTACAAAAGTCACGCGATAACATGATCGTCATGCTAGTAGCATGACACAGATGGAATTTAGAATGTCTATGTATTTAGTAGGAAAATTAGAGACGAATCTGACCCTTTCTGTTGAACTTTCTTTATAAATTTTCTTTAATTCACCATTATCTGCGCTCATTTACCGCTGCTGACTGTAGAAAATAATGAACACAATGATTTTATGAAACGTGTGACACTCATGAGAAGAAAAATTTCTCGCATCGAATTCCATATTTCAAAATAAAAAGCTTCACAAGTTGCTTTGAAATCAACAAAACGTCATTCTGCATAGTTGTTCAGTGTACTTTAAAACTCGTAGATATGAAAAATCTTTCAGAGAGAAATGACCCTATGCTCGAGTGTTAACCATAACTCGTGGCGTAATCATAGATTCAGAATGTCACCTTTATTCTCTCGATAAGAAAAAGAATATGTTTTGTTTGCTGTCATGATTTTAGTTGACGAACGAGAATAAAATCAGGATTATCACAAAAGAGTGAGATTTATATGTAGGTCAGTGTCTTCATAGAAAAATGCCAACAACGAGAAGCAAGAAGAAGTTCCATCCTTATCTGGTTATGCAACACACGCTTTATTGAAATAAAAAATAATTAAAGAGTGGCTCTTGTAGTATTTTAATAATGTATCGAATATGGGAATATTTTGATTTATTAAGATTGAATGTCATTTCCAACCGACATTTTCTTGATGATATCATGCCATACTCGTAGTCTGACTAGGACTTCATAAAATAGTGTCATTAGATAGTTTATTGTTATGATTAGTGATATCGACAAAAAACTAATGTTCTGCATTATATTTATAAAAGAAGAAAAGTTTGACGACAAAGATGATAATGAAGAAGTCATACATTTGTAAGTCTATGACTTACCAGACTTTCTTAGTCCAGAATGATATTCATTTTTATATACCAGGTTTTATAATATTTCTTTATTGGAATTATTACAATGTCTCTTGGAAAGAACATGCGACTTTTAAGAACGCTATATACATAATTTATTTCATGTTTTTCTTGAATTCTCTGTTAAAAGCATTGCTTTAAAACAAACGATTCAACTTTCATTTGTAAACAGAGTGAAAAGCAAATTAAGAATATGCACAATCATTTCTTTTCTTTGTACTAAATGCAAATACTCATTGATTTTTTTCATTTAATAGATAGCTCGTTATCACTAGTAAAATCAATGTATTCGTCAGCACTGACCTCGAATAGTTCAATTTATTTTCAAGATTGTTCAGAGTTAGATTCTTATTATGAAGAGATACAAATGAACGTCACTGTAACTGGTTATTGTACTTTTCTGATCAACAGTGAGATGAAAACCACATATGGTTATATCTACACAAATAACTTCAATCCATTCGATGTGTCCAAAAATGTCCTCAGACATAATGGAAACTATGAAAATCAAGGTCAATTTAAAGTCTCAACTGTTCTTGAAGCTGATATGAAATACATTTTCGTTCTGACAACATCTTTTCACAATTTAACAGGGAGCTTTTCAATTCAAGTATTCGGCCCTAGCTATATCGGTCTCAATCGTATTTGTAAGTATGTATAGTGTCTTAACGGATAATCAGCTACACTTATTCATCATCGGTAGAAAATATAGATTAACTCAATCCGCAAAATGATATACGGGTATTTCTATTCGATAGAGACTAAGATTCATATCACTTCCAGTCACTTTCGGTAAGTGTATCTGAGAGAGAAAATAAAATTTTAAATTATTTACACTTACTTACATACTATACAGAATTCAATCGATTTTCTTTTTCCTTAGTGAATAATGAATCAATTGTTCAAACAACTTATATATCAGAATTGACAACGAACAGTTCAACGTATTTCTTTCGGTGTTCAGATTCAGAAAGTACTTATTATGAAGCGATACAAGTGAATGTTCGTAGAAGTGGTCTTTACACTTTCTTCAGTCAAAGCAGTATGGACACATACGGCTCTATTTACGAAGATTATTTCAATCCATCTAATTCAAATGAAAATAAACTCTTAGGTAATGATGACAGCTGCGAACCATATCAGTTTGGATTCACAATTGCTCTTGAAAACAGTATCACATACGTATTAGTTGTGACAGCGTATGGTATTTTTCAAACAGGTGCATTCTCGATCTTCGTATCCGGTCCAAGTAATATTGATCTCAAGAACATTAGTAAGTGTTTGTACTACAACTATTAAATGAATATCTGTAAATGTTAGCATGAGTATTTAGTTGAGTTTGGCATATCCACAAATAAAAACTTGTTTTGTAAGATGACATTTGTATTATACGACGACAGTTTTATACAAACAGCTACATTAAATTCATCAAATAACAGAATATTGTGAATAGGATTAGATCATTCCGCTTGAATACAGATCGGTTTTAATCGATCGCTAATCTTATGTGAATAATATACAAATCGGCATGAATCTCTACTCGTGAACATGAAATAAAAAAATTTCGGTTTTTGTTATAATATGTCCTATCACTCAATGTTCCTATAATAAAAAATGCTGCAAACATTTAAATATAATGTATCGTAGATAAAAAATATAAACATATTTTTACTTTCTATGAATCTAAAAAATATTTTTACGTACTTTAATTTTTTGAATAAATTACAGTAGTAGGAGAATTAGACTCTAAATAAACATTTTTCCTATCTCAAACGTTGGGATATTATCCATTTTCGAGATAAAGAAGTTATTCTAAATGCATTCGTGACATACCTTATCGAGGATTCGAGTACAGAAAAACGTTTATAGATTCTATTCTCACTCTCCCTTTAGAGCTTAATTATTTCATTGAAAGCGATATTAGGGAGTCATCTCTTCAGAAAGCTAGGCTCAGCTTTAGCTTCAACGTGCCTTTCGACATTCAGGGTATATGAGAGATGACTTATGATGCTCAGTTTTCTTTCTTACATCAAGACGATTCATCTTTCCCTTAGTCAATCAAGATCTATCACGAACCTTGACTGTTATTTTTGTTTTCATCGTATAGGTTCTCCATCAGTCATCCAAATTCCATATTCATCAGCTGTACAATCAAATTATTCGTCAGAGTTGAACAGGAGTAGTCAAACATATTCTCGAGATTGTCGAAAAACAAATTATTACTATCAAGCTATACGAGTGAATGTGATGGAAACTGGATATTATGCTCTTAGCAGCGATAGCAGTATGGATACATTCGGTGATATGTACAAAGATGATTTTAACCCAATGAATCCTTTCGAGAATTTACTCTCACAGGATTATCGAGCATGTAGTTCTCAAGACTTTAAGTTTATTGCTTATCTTCAAACTGGTACTACATACATATTAGTGGTGACAACATCTTCTCCAAATATGACAGGAAACTTTTCCATTCTGACATCTGGTCCAAATAATATCACTCTTGATCCTTACAGTAAGTATTTTGTATTATTTGCAAATCATCAACAGAGAAATACAACATTCCACTGGACTCCATTTTCACTCTTGAATAATAAAAGATTTGAGAATTTCAATTAGATCATATAATTCAATCAAATTATTGTCCAAA